TTTTTTTTTTTTCCGTTTCATTATTCTTTTTTTCATTTGTTTATTTGTTTGTGTTTTGTCATAAATATTTAGCGGGTATTAAAAAGTTTTTTTTTTAAAAGATGTAAAATTTATACATTGAAAAAAAAGGAACAAGCAAAAAAATTACAATCCCCACTTTCTTTTCTTTGCAAACAGTTTTTTACCTTGTTTTTTGTTATAAAATACAAAGCAAAGGAGAATAAAAAAAACACCAATAACACCAAAAAATAGAATGGTATTTGTTTAGTTCTTTTTTAGCAGAAATTTTTTTGATACGGCTAAAGAAGTACCGGTAATTTTGGAAAAAACTTAAAGCAGTCGTAATTAGAATCATAACTACAATATAGCTATAGATTCTCCTTTCCTTTCCTCCTCTCCTCCTTCACCCGTCCGCTTCACTTGGATAAAATACAGCTCTCAATCCAGCCAAAATTTTTTGACCAATCAACTTCTGCTACAACTACAGCTTACAGTTTGCAATTTCACCAAAACTTTCACCATCACTATGTATCAACGGCACTTTGATCAAAGTGTTTTTTACTTTTTTTTTTTTTTATAACTTAACCAATGTAATTCAAAACGAAAAAAAAGAAGTGAACAGAAGAAAGAAAAAAACAGCAACAATTAGAGCTGTTTCTTCTTAGAGTTTTTTTTTTTTTGCCGACTAATTTCAACTTCAGTTATTTTCCTCCATTTTCCTCCGCTTTTTTTTTTTTGCATGAATTTTTTGGTTTTATGTTCAGTTACCGCACAGTATTGGATGTGTAAATTAAAAGAGATTTGTTTTTTTGTTTCATATTTTGTGCTGTTAATTTTGAACTATCAATTAGTATCTGTGTTTTTTCCTTTTTTTGTCTTGTCGATATTATTGTACTATAAAGTTGTTGTCATTAGACAGTACCACTGTTGTATGTTAACAGATAAATAAGCGAGGAAAGAATGTATAAAAAGATTTGAGGGGTAAGAAAAAAGTAAAATAAATTTAATTAACTTTAATGTTGCTGCTTTATAATTCTTTTTTTAATCTATGTATCAATCAGTAGCAAAAAAAAAGACTGATAAAATTG